ACAGGACGATTTTTTATTACATCATAGATAGGGGATACGTCGAGAGATTTTGAAAGGGAGAACAAGATTTTCACGTGTAATTAAGAATCGCCCTATACACTTGGATGACTATTTGGTAAATATTTTACTGGATAACGCGTCCGTAGTATAACGGGCGGGTTTTGAGCCTAAAAAGCATGACCTAAGGTTGATCGCAGCTCTACAAATTTTTATGTATACCTGTCGTCAAGTTCTACACTACATTGTATTCAAGATTGACAGCGAATTCTCTGCTAATCGGCGAATGCTTCATATCCATTGCGTCATGCGATGGAATAACGAGGAGGGGATCGAACACACTCCCTCGTTATTGCAGTAGTCAATTCGAGAAGTAAAAAAAAAACAGAAAGACATATCAGATATAGTGAAGACTATAGCTAACGAATGAGCGAATCACCAACGGATCTTTATGCTTGCGTTTTCTAGATGACAAAACGTGGGATTATTACGCCGTATTTCATTCGATAGTAGATTACGATCGCTAATTATAACGCCCAAAATACAGCTAGATCGGTCGTTCGTAGATCCAAATATTGAGAAACATTTCATTGTAGCAAAATGCGAAGACGTACAGATATATCCATAGTCGTTAAACACCGCTCTTGTTCCTTGTAACGTAACAGCCGTGTTTATCGTATTCTTTCTCTCTCTCTGTCTATCTATCTATCTATCTACCTATTCATCTATCTGTCTATCTATCTTTCTTGTGTATTCATTGATTTTGCTTGCGTAAAACGCAACCGTTGAATCGTTTAGTAACAATACTGTGTACGTACGCACCGATGTGCATATGATGGTCCTACTTGGTGCAATGTTTGACGAAACGCTTGTTGCTGAAAGCATGTCAGGCTTGGCGCATGAGACTCATAGATGACACCTTTGGTTTTTTTTTCTCCTTTTTTTAAAATTGCGATCAGTGCGCATAGGGATAGAAAGTGGGGTTGAGGTGGAGGGGCGGAAAAGTGGCAATCGCGTCGATCGAAAAGTCGGCACGCTTGACGGGGAAGTAGCACATTGGATTTACGTGTTTGCCTGCGCAGCAGTGACAGGGCCTGACCCACTGGTCGGCAGCCAGCAGCAGTCGCCGATTTACTCTACGGACGCCGAGAGCAACGGCAAGATCAACATACACGTGTCCGTTGTTTTCGTGAAATCCCTGTCGGATCTGAAGAAGAAACGGGCGCAGAATCGGCACTTGTCCGGCGGCTCCTTGGACGCGAACGGGAACGGCATCCCTATGCCGGTCTCGTCCATCTCCAATTCCGATCTGAGCGCCGACGATTTCACCCAGCGCTTCACTGGGAACACCAGCGAGATCGTGAGCGATAGTCACTCGGAGAAGAGCTGCTGCACCGTCATGTAAACGCGCTAATTAACGTGCAATCTCGTTTTCCTTGTCCTTGCCTCAACCGTTATCTACGATGTCGTCGGAGCTCACCGGGATCTTTCGCACACGAACGAGAATATATCCCCGCGATTATCTCCCAGTATTTCTTTTAAGACTCAACGCTGCGTTCTTGTACTTCCGCAAGTTTTCCCAAGCCGCGCGTTTAATCCGAGCCCGAGGGTCGTGATATTTTTTTATTAGATATATACATATATTTTCTTAGCACATATAGCGACATTATGTACATCACGGATAATACCCGCGAGGACGCGTATCGACAGCTTTAAAATCAAAACAATTATTCGTTTTGATGTCGCGCGAACGGCATGTACTTAAAATCGTGACGAAGCGTTTTTCCCTGCGATTGTTACGCGAATCGTAGCGCTCGAAACAAGCTCGCTATCGAGAACACCTTGTTACGATTACTACACTCAGAGCGTGTACTTACATTTGTAGAAATTACAATTGCATTTTTGTTCACGATGTTTACAATTATCCAGAGCCTAAAGCGTTCGAGTATTGTACAGACTTTTATTTTATTTATTGTTATATTAAAGGAAATGTATAGACTACACTAGAAAGATAAAAGAGAGAGATGCATGTTACAACATTCATAGGTATTACCTACGTAGATTCGACTTTTTCTAGTATCTCCGCAGACAGGTATAAGACTATCAGACATCTTCCGATATTTTTTATGAGACTAGCTATAAGGATTGAGTGAAAACGGTTTTTTATATCGATTTAAAGATTATTTGTAAATTTTGATATGTAGTATTTATCTATCTATTACAACTACAGACTCTTCACTTGAATTCCTTGTTCCAGATATAGCAAGTCGCTATACATCGCTGATTTACAATTTTGCACCTGTGTTGCGCCTTTGACAAACGCGTGAGGCGTTATCGAGTTCAATTCGACAATTCTCGTGCCGGAGATATTCGAGATACAAATAACGTAAGCTCTACTTCTTTCTTCTTTCTTTTTTTTTTTAGAGTAAAGTTTACGCATCCCCGTGCAAACGGCAGGTAAATCCAGCGAATCAAAATGGTAGCAAACTTCATTCGGAATCGTGTGTACAGGGCCGTGTATAAAATAATGATTTGTCCTGCCGAACGGCCTGTATCTTTTGTACACGTTTACGTCAAATCGCAATCCAAATTAGAGAATACGAAGAGGGATCTTCAAAGGAAGTAAATAGTACAAATATACGCTCATACATTCCCCCGCGATGCATAATAAACGTTGCCAAACTGTGCGCGGCTTCCGGCCTTCACGATGACGGTCGCGTGACTCGTTCCGCGTCTTGCACTTGCGTTAATCGTGAAATTTCTAATGATAATCGCCGCGATAATTCCAATTAAAAGTACGTAGCACACGTGCGATTGTTTACGCATGATTTGACTGCGAACGTCTATGGCGAAAGTTGATTTCACTGGCTGTATTTGAAATGAATTTATGTGACGTCTACCACCTGTTTATATTGTATTGTAATATAGTAACATTATATAAAATAAAATTACTGTATATGTTATCTTTGTACACTTTGTACATCTTGTATTATGTTATCCGCAGGTAGGTTGTTCAACTTTTCACACGCTGTCGAGAATTCCAGTACTTTTCCATAAGAAATTGGTGTCTCATAAATATTGACTCATTTTTCAGTGCATTATGATGTGATTTAAGAATCGCGAAAATGCGAATAAGAGGCCACGAGCTGTTCGACGGAACTGACAAATAATTTGTGATTTTTTTTTTTATTTAATATTCACTTATTACGATAGATTTTATTGAAACCTTCCAATTAAGCGACTCGTGTTATATAATGGAATTTATAAGTTTATGTTTTATTATGTTACAGCGTGTAATCACGTTTCCGTGAGTCATTTCTGACGCGCTGTTATCAGAACGCGAAACTTGCACACTTGTGTTAAGATAACGGGTGATGAACGGAATAGTGACAGATATAGCCACATAATAACAGTCATGGTGATATGAACATCTGCGATGTGGCTTAGCGGCCACAGGAGGAAGATTACATCAGTCGACACCCAATTGAGAACTGATTTAATCAACTGTACATCGCTAGTTTCTTCTGATGCAACCACCGCGTTTTATTGAGCCTCATTAGAGCCACAATTGGCAATAAATAAGAACGTGATATTAAGCACACAATTTTACTTGATACTATGTGTGTATTTATATGTTAAAAATCATTCCTCGGTATTATTTTTACAGGTAATACCTGCAACTTGCCCTCCCTCAAAAACAGACTGCTCGGTGAAAGACGAGTAGATGAGTATTTCGAGATAATTTCACGATATCTCTTATTGATATTGGCCAATCGTTTTCGTTACTGCCGATGCGAATCTTTTAATTAAAGAAAGCGTTTCATCGACATGTCCTATTGTTTGCATTTAACATATTAATGTCCGCTTCTCTAAATTATCGGTATTTAATAACGAATAATCTTATCGTACCAGGATTCATCTTCGATATACAATCCGTTATATAATTTTGTGAATAATTTCTCGGTGGAATCGGTAGAATCTTCAGATATCGCTTAAACAACTGCAGCTAATTAAATACACGGTTTATTGCTTCATGCATTCGTACTTGAAGCATTTGACGTCAAGCCAAATCTTTCAAATGATATTTGTTCACTCGGTTCTGCTTTTTCCTTAATACTCGACGAAATTTAATATAAAACAAATCACGGGATACACGTCGAAACTTTTAAATTATCTCAAAAATATGTATTCGTTATACGCTAAGTTAATCTGTTTCGTCATTTTAACCTTTATCAATCTTTCATGTTATTTGTGTTATTATTTTGTATAATTTTATAATTTTATTTTGTTAAGTAGTAACGCACGAAGAGAGAATATTTCTTAGGACTCATTGTCAGTATCTGTGAGATATCGCTGTCTAACGTCCTCGATCAAAGATGTCAGGGATAACGGGGTCATTGGCGTCAATGGGTAGCAGGTATTTATTCCGTCTGAAAAAAATTATATCATGTTACATCAGACGATAAGTCTAGGACTAAAAATTCTTTTGTCAAGTTAGAAGAACATGCATTTCCGTAGTCACAGATCCATCAAAGGCCACTCAATATATTTCGCTCTTTATGATAATACAATTTTTATCTCATAAATATGTAAGATATTATTAGCGAATAAATTCTGCTGATAAAAAGAACGTGGAGTTTACGATGATAGCAATTTTAATGAAAGTTTATCAAGATTTATTATAATAAAATTCGAATGTGTTTTAATTGTTTCTATATATTCTCAAAGTAATAATTATAGAAACGTAGCTGTGCAACACTTTGCTTATCTTCTTCTACATAAAAACTTATCTGTAACACGAAGATATTTTGTATTGCTAATAAACATCCCGAGATACCGTCTTCCGTCTATCCTTCCTTTAACCTTCTTTTGCAACTTTGAAATAACTAATATACTAAGAAAATTAAATAAGCTGTAGATGTTAAGAATATTTCATTTTTGTCATTCTTTTGTTCCGGTATATAATAAAAGAAATATGAGTCTCTATTCTTCTATTGAAACGAACGAATCTCGTACGACCTTCTTAGCATCTGACGAAGTGGGAGAACGAGGAGACGATGTAGCGGGGAGAGACACATGCTCGACGTCCATAAAAACAGAATACCGTCCGTAAGACACCGCAGTCAGTTTCGTTCCAGTTCCACGAGGAATTTACTATTCATCCCGGAAAGGAACACTGCCGTGTATCAGCCTCCGATCAACGCGGCAACAGTCCGACAGATCATCGGATCGACAGACCGACTACGCGCGTTCACCACTTAAGGTAAAGGACGAAATCCTAATGGCAGAATTCTAATCTGTTTCTGGACATTCCCAATTTTCCTGAAATGTTTCGAACAATCGCATTCAAACGTGAGAAGTAAAACTAAAATCTTTGCCTTCATCCTTCCTTTTACGTCGATAAAATCTCATCGGAGCGAAGAAAGATGAGGGCATCTGTAGAATTAAATTCTGTACAGTACACCGGGCCGTGGACAAGAGAAATTCCGAGTTTTAGAATCTTGCTCTTTCACGGTTATTCTCTCGCGCTGAGTTTTATCAACAAACAGCATGAAGGTATGAAAATATCGTTTCGTCAACTGAAGGAAATCTCGAGAGAATCCCTAAAACTAAATTTAAGGTCGAAATTCATAGTCAGATTTTGTATTCAAGACCGTCTTCAGATCATTTTTAGATACTGCGTAGCCAACGAAATATATGTTCCATATATCTTTAAATAAATTCAAAACGTTCTTGAATATAAGATCCGACTATGAATACCTGCCTAAGATTTCGAATCAGTATTCATAGTCAGATCTTATGTTCAAGACTGTCTCAAGGTCATTTTTAGATACATACTCCGTAGCCAATGAAATGTTCCATACAGCATCTTTACATAAATTCAAGACGGTCTTGAATATAAGATCCGACTATAAATACCGGCCTTAGAAGTGTAAGATACGCTCGGAATTGTTTCAAGAATTACACAATTATTACAATATATTTGTCGCATGAGAATAGCATCTTTCATTATTCCATGCTAATCCCTGTTTAAAATAATAGATAGAATATAATCAAATTGCACGTAATCTAATGTAATCTGATCATATTCTATCTAGTATTTTAAACAGGGATTTTATCTAATATTTTAACATCGGTTTAATTACTCGCTTTGTCGACTTGTAATCAACGCGAGAGATTTTGACAAAATAATTCAACTCTTATCAAAAGTTGCATTCATTACAAGGTCTTGCTAAACTATCTCCATTTCCCAATAAATATAATTTTACAAACAGAAGAAGGAATAATTTTAGAATTGAGACGAGCGGTATTACCAAAGAAAATGTCTCTCTGCCAAATGTCAGACAACCAGGTGACGGGATCCGGAGAGTTTACGTTTATCCAAGTCTGCAACGCTCATCTCGAGACTCCGCGAATCAATCAGTTATTCGGTCGATCGGGATTGGCCTTCACCGACCTTCCTCTTCGCACGTGCACCGCACACGATACGAACGCCGTAACCCTGACGTTACCGCCGTTCCCGGACGATCGTAGATATCGGCACGTGCGCGTCCCCCTCTATCGCGCCCGTCCATCCGCTCGTCCGCCACCTCTCGCGCGACTCGCCTCCGTCCTGCTCCGTCCTCCGATACCGCTCGTCCGCGATACCGGTTTAACGCATGCCACCGTGGAAGTATCACGGAACACGTCGAGTCCATGAAAGTGGGCGGCACATCGAGCGGAAGCCGAATCGTCGAGGATGTCGCGATCGTGCCGCGTGATTACTGTTTTACTACCATGCCTGGTTCGGGCCGTTCTCGCGGACAATTGCACCATCTCGTCGTACCAGTGCGGCGCGCACTTGACGTGCCCGATCTTGGAGCGTGACAATGTTTGCCCAATGTTTGGCAGAATGCCGGGCCAACTGGAGCAGATCAAGGGCAAGCGTGCCACCTTCGGCATGGGCTGCTTCTGGGCGGGGGATTCTCTCTTCGGGGCGCTGCCTGGCGTCATCAGAACCTGCGTGGGCTACGCCGGCGGCAGCAAGGAGTCTCCGGCCTACAGGAACCTGTAAATTTTCCATTCTTATCTACCAGCGATCGCAGTCTTGCGATCTTAAAGTTTCACGGGATCCTTTCTCACCTGTTCCTCATTTCTGCTTGCAGGGGCGACCATACGGAGGTCATCGACATCGAATATAACCCAGGCCTAGTGTCTTACACGCATCTGCTGAGCTTGTTTTGGAACAACCACGAGTACAGTCTAACGAAGAAGATTAAGAGGCAGGTATGTTGCCGGCGCGTGTCAATTGTGTTCAACCGTGTATCATTTTCAGTAGAAGAATAGAGTGACTTGAGAGTTTAATTATCACAAAGGTTTGTTCTCTGCAAGATTTGACAAATAACTAATATTCACATGTCATTTGTGCGCAAACTGAATGTTAAATATATTCATTCAATTTGCAGTACATGTCACTGATCTTGTATCATGATGAAGAGCAAAGGTTGCTAGCTGAAAAGTCTCGCGAGCAGGAACAGCGGAAGCGCGGAGAAGTCTTTGTCACGGAAATCAAGCAGTTTACAAAGTTTTATCCAGCCGAGGAGTAAGTGACACTGTTGTTTTACTTATTTCTCTTTTTTACTCGGCGAAATTCAATTCCTTGCACTCGCTGGAACACTAGGGCCGGTATTCACAGTCGGATCTCACATTCAACATCGTCTTGAGTTTATCCAAAGATGCTGTACGGAACATTTCATTGGCTACGGAGTATCTAAGGATGACCTTGAAACAATCTTGAATATAGGCTCTGACTATGAATACTGGCCTGTGATATGTTTCAGCTGATAAAACACTCGAAATATAAATTCACATAATTATTACGTAACACAATGTGTAAGATACCCTAACGATACTTTGTAAAATCAGTTAGTTATGTAATAGATAATTTAGTAAATTGAAAATGTAGTTTCACAACTTGTATATTTCTAATGTGTAACGGTACTTTCTAAATCTTTTTTATCAAAGTTGCGCCGTACAATAAAACATAATATTAACGTTAGGAAAGTGAAGATAAAACAGCCAACTTAAGCTGCAAATGTAGCAGACGGTGCGTGTCCAATTTAACTAATTGAAGTTATGTATCTTTCCAGTTACCATCAGAAGTATCGGCTGCAGAATCATCCGTGGCTGGTCGAAACAATGGGCCTCACCACCCCGGAGATCCTGTGCGCCTCCCCACTGGCGGCTAAATTGAACGGCTACATCGCAGGCGCTGGTACCCTCGAGCAATTTGAAAGTGAGCTCCCGGGCCTGGGGCTAAACGAGAAGGCAGTGAAATATTTAAGAAAATACATTATCGAGAATCAGGGCAGTGGTTTGTACTGCTAGCAGATGATGCAGTGAAGAAAACTGCGAGGGATATTTTTCAAGGGCCAGTTTCATAAACATCGGTTAACTGTTAACCAGAGTTCAGTCAACTCCCTTTTTCTATCTTATTATTTAAGAACGGAGAATCAATTGACCTTCTATTAGCGGTTAACCGACGTTCGTGAAACTCGCCCTAATAGACGTAGGCTGGACATATCCGATTTCTTCGCGAGAGGAGAACCGCACAGCCTGATACACTGCGTATACCAGAGTACCACAAATGCCTTAAAATGTTCCACGCGGATACTTTTTATATCAAATTGTTTGTAATATTTAACGCCCGCGTCGGAATTTACTGTATAAAGGGTCCCCACTGCTCACGCACTCGATCGCAATTTTAACAATACGCTCGCAGACTTGGAATCGATATTCTTTTTTAACAAAACCATTGATTCAATGTTTGAATTAGGTAAATTTCGTACCGTCGAGTCGATAAGAGAATCCTTTAATTGACAATTTCTGCTTACCAAGGGATACAAGGGATGTCAATTTGGACCGCACGTTTTTTTATTAGTCAAGAATTTACGTCTTATAATGTGCATAACTTGAAAGTACTCACAGTATACAAGAAGCTATCCTAGTTAAAGTTAAATGAATTTTAGGTAGGCAATATATTTCCGTCATTATGCGCACGGGTTCTCAATTCGGACTGTTATTTAGAAATTAAGGTTTTATTATAAAAATACGTGACGTTACGCGTCTTGGACTTTTCCCATTACTTTCATGAAGAGAGCCGGCTGCAAGTGAAAACAGTGTTACCAACTCGTATCAAGTGCGCGTGTGCGCTTTTCGCGCGAATTTCAAATTTCGATCAATTTTATTGTACAAAAAGGCCTGCGGTTCGGCATTGCGAATCCGAGGCGTCGGGGTGCTCCTGCGCATTCGAGTGAGCGAGAGAGGAGAATGTGACAGAAAAGGAGGAAGAGCAGCTCCGACGCCTCGAATTTGCAACGCCGAACGCAAGCTAAAGAACGAAGTTAAGTAAAAGGAAACTGCTACGATGAAGCCATGTTACTCAAATATAAAAATATAAAAAGACATTTTATATATATATGTATATATATATAAATTTATGTATATACATCGTGTTCTTATATAATAAAGATATTCATTTTTTAGATAAATACCTTCAGTGTTCCTCCAAATACGTTTCTGCAATTGGATCTCTGTTAATGTTTTTGTATTCTTAATTTCCCGAATCTTCGCACTCTAAGTCCCAGTCTACAAT